ACTTCTACGACCATTGCATCAGTCTATTCAAATCATCCTGGAGTGTTCTAGTGTCTTCATTAGAATGAATTGGACGGCCTATTTTGGCGTCATCAACAAATTTGCTTATGTCGCTATTTATTCCCTCATCTATGTCGTTTATGTAAATTGTGAGCAACAACGGGCCTAACACTGACCCCTGAGGAACACCGCTTGTGACGTGCCCCCATTTTGATTTCTCCCCATTTATGTAAACTCTCTGTTGCCTATTTGTCAGCCATGCCTCTGCCTAGGAAAAAAATTCTCCTCCTATTCCGTGTGCCTTAAGTTTCCTCAATAGCTTCTGATGTGAAACTCTATCGAAAGCCTTACTGAAGTCCATATGCACAATATCATATTCATTACCATGATCTACCTCCTTAAATACCTTAGTGAAAAAAGTTAGTAAATTCTTAAGGCAGGAACGCCCCTTTGTAAAACCGTGTTGAGATTCATTAATCATTTTATGCCTATCAAGATGACTACGAATTGCTTCGGAAATTATTGATTCCATAAATTTGTCTGAGGACCATGTCACTAGTTACCGCAATCGTGCATAGTTTATTATCGTCCTGTTCTACATAATCTATTATTTCAGGAATATCACTAGTATTTTCCTGGGTGAAAACTGAGAGGAAGAATTGAAAATTTCACACACATCCTTATCAGTGTCAGTGATCTGACCAGAGTTACTCTTAAGTGGGCCAATCTTGTCCCTAATCTTACTTCTGTATACCTGAAAGAACCCTTTTGGGTTAGTCTTTGAATCCCTTGCAACCTTAGCCTCATAATCCCTTTTTGCTCTTCTATTTTTTTTTTATTTCTCTCTTTAATTAACTGAATATATTGATTTCTTAACTGCCCATCCCCTCTTTTGATACGCCTATATATGCCTCTCTTTTGACCAATGAGATGTTTTATTCTATTGTTCATCCATTTGGGATCATTTTTGTTAGATCTAATTTCCCTACTTGGAACAAAAGTTGTCTGGGCAGCTAGAACTATGCTCTGAAAAACATCATTTTGGCAACCAAGATCACCTACCTGACCCATAGCCAGGATATCCCAATTTAGCCCACCCAGGTAATTTTTTCAGTCCCATGAAGTCAGCCAAGCGAAAGTCTGGGACAGAGATTTGATTGCAGTTATCTGGGTAATTCCATGATATATTGAAACTAAGTGATTTGTGATCACTTTCCCGAAGCTCACCATTAACCTCAAGATTATTAATTAGTGTTTCTTTGTTGGCAAGAACCAAGTCAAGCAGACTGTTTCCTCTAGTTGGCTCTGTCACAACCTGCTCTAAAAAGCAATCCTGAACCGCATCAAGAAAGTCACTAGACTCAAGATTTCCTGTTGTATTGTTCCAATCAATTTGTCTAAAGTTAAAATCTCCTATTAATACAACATTTTCATATCTAAATGCCTTATGAATTTCGTCCCATAACAGCTTACTGCACTCCCTATCAAGGTTTGGGGGCCTTGAAGGTCAGCTGACATAATTATTCCCAGGTCTTTAACGTGTTCCTTTCGTTCTATTTGGTGACCCTCTTGAGTTTTTTATATAGTGTTCCTTTTGAGTTCTTCATTGTTTCCATACCTAAGCAGCTGGAACTTATCACCACTGAACGTCATGTTGTTCTCCACTGCCCACTGGAAAACCCTGCTTATGTCTCCCTGTAATTTTTCAGTGTCCTCTACCGTAGTGACTCATGCTTATTTTAGTGTCATCTGCAAATGACGATACAAAAGTGTGCCGGGTGTTTTTATCTATGTCTGCTATAAGGATGAGAAACAGCAGAGGTGCCAGGACAGTGCCTTGGGGCACTGAGCTTTTGACCTCGCTGATGCTGGATCTTGCCCTGTTCACTACTACTTTTTGTGTCCTGTGTGTTAGGAAACCGAAAATCCATCTGCCTACCTTCCCCGTAATGCCCATGGCCCTCATTTTGTGCGCTATCACTCCATGATCGCATTTGTCAAACGCTTTTGCAAATTCTGTGTAAATCACATCTGCGTTTTGGTCGTCTTCCAGTACCTCCGTAATTCTGTCATAATGGTTCAGCAGCTGTGACAGACATGATCGTCCTGCTCTAAAACCATGTTGGTTCGGGTTACGTTGGTTGTGCTACCTGGATTACCTGGAGGTTATTCCATGAAATTTGTAATCTGCCGTCTCATCACTCATCACTGGTCCGTAATTATTAGCTAGTGCTCTACTACCTCCCTTATGCAAAGGAGCTATGTCTGCACTGTACGTGAATGGTATACAACACCGACAAGATCAAAATTAGACACATGTCCAACGTGTGCAACATCTGAGTATTATTACTGTAGACGTTTCGCTATCCAGTGGTTTCATCAATACAAAATTTATATTGTAAAGCCACTGGATGGCGAAACGTCTTCAATAAAGATACCCTAATGTTCCACACGTGTCCAATTTTTATTTATAATAGCACTGATTATTGGGTTAACCCACTTACTGCCCTTGCGTATCTTGGTGCCCCTTCTTGTACAGTCATCAGATCAAAACTATACACCATCTGGCTATCTTTATTGACATGACGCTTCACCTGAGCAGCAGGCTCTCCAGTCTGATAGACATGATTTACGAGGTGCAGCAGTAGAAGACATCGTCACATGTGGGCGGAACCCACCAGTGAAAAGAAGTTATGCTCAAAGTTGGGCCAGATGTTAGTAATGGCGTTTTAGAAGATATCCTCTGTACCAAGATACCATCTATACCGACAAAGGTATATCAAAGGTACCTAACTGGAGAGTGTTCCGAGGATCAACTGCCTTGCGGCTCGGTCCCAGACCAGGCCTCCCAGAGGCGCTAGCCGTCGGTGCTAGCCGCACGAAGTCCAACGTAAGCGACATGGCCGGGTTCTTTAGGAAATGAGCCGAGGAACTTGTCAATTTCTCTCTTGAAAACAGCCAGGGGTTTATTGGTAATCCCTCCTTACGTATGAAGAGAGGGTAGTGAAAAGTCTCGCTCCCGTCACACTTACTGAGTTTCCCTTCCCTTTTCATTTAGGATATTTTGACTGTCTGCCAAGCCTCTGATTTTCATGGGGAATGATTTGTGCGCAGATTTGGGCCTAAGTCCTTTGGAATTTTCAAATTGTAGATTATACCCTAACTTTTACACGTCTGATACATTTTCAGAGTTTTACTAATCTTGAAGCTCGACACTTATCCAGGGTTGTCTGGTATTTGCCTGATCAACCAGGCTGATGCTGCTGGCAGCCCGCCGACCCACATATCCATCACAGACTGGTTAATTCGGCACTTAGAGGAGAAACCTGTCTAGTTTCCTCGTGAAGACTTGTAAACTTGCCACAGCAGTGAGTCTAATATCTTCTGGCAAGATGTTAAAAAGTCTAGGATGACGGATGTTGATACAGTGTTCTCTTATTGTGTCCTGCATTTTACAGGGTTTATACTACACATTCTCCCGTATCTCCCACTCCAGTATATTGTTATGGAAGTATATACATTTGGGACCAGGCTCTCAAGTACTTGCTACGTATATATTATCATGTGTGAGTATCTCCGCTCCAGCGAGTACATATTTTAGACGGACTCGTTCCAAAGAGTACTGATTGAAAGATCTGAAACGTTTAGACATAGGTAATGTCGCTCGACAAGGTTTAGGAGGAGAATAAGAAGCCAAGATTCAATCCTCGTAAACACAAATTGGTGAATACATAATGGAGGTCAGGAATCAATAAAGCCGTTAGTTGCTAAGAGACAGGATCAAAACAATTGAACAATGAACTATGTGAGCACAAACATTCAAAGACGAACATAAACACAAATGCACACACACACACACACATACATTTCCTGAGGCGCACATCAACCACATAACTGCTGCAGCATATGGGCGCCTAGCAAACCTCAGAACAGCATTCCGACATCTCAATAAGGAATCGTTCAGGACCCTGTACACCGTGTACGTTAGGAAAAAAATACACACATACACAAGCACGTAAGGAAACTAGAGAAAGTGCAAAGGTTTGCAACATGACTAGTCCCGGAGCTAAGGGGCGTGCCCAACGAGGAGAGGTTAAGGGAAACGGACCTGACGACACTGGAGGACAGGAGAGATAGGAGACATATAATACTGAGAGGAATCGACAAGGTGGGCAGAGACAGGATGTTCCAGAGATGGGACACAGCAACAAGGGGACACAGTTGGAAGTTGAAGAATCAGATGAATCACAGGGATGTTAGGAAGTATTTCTTCAGTCACAGAGTTGTCAGGAAGTGGAATAGTCTGGGAAGTGATGTAGTGAAGGCAGGATCCATACAAAGCGTTAAGAAGAGGTATGATAAAACTCATGGAGCAGGAAGAGTGACTTAGCAGCGACCAGTGAAGAGGCGGGGCCAGGAGCTATGAATCGATCCCTGCAACCACAACTCGGTGAGTACAACTAGGAGAGTACACACACACTCTTTCAGCTGCACTGTTTATATTAGTCCTTAATATACTTATGTACTCGGCTTTACACTAACAGAGTAAAAATCAATTAACACTTTTAGCAAATTAAATGTCAATGAGCACAAAGAGACGGGGATACAGAAACAAGCTTCTATTTGGGCTGAATCTCGCTCTAAGCAGAGCTTTTTCTAGTCACGTTACAGTGGAAAGTTGTCCCAGTGGAGACTGGTGCTGCATATTTGTGTGTTGGTCTGCATGCATGTTCACCTTCAACCTTCACTCATTAAATGAGAGAATTACTGAACTCCACTAATTACACACATATAAGTAATTACAAATGTGTAATCAATCATTAGTCACATATAGGTAATGACTGCTAATGACAGACTGTCACAAAAAGGTGATCACAGTTAGTCACTAACAAGTAATGACAAGTAGTTAAAGACAATGACAAAATAATGACAGACAGGTAATGACAATAAATAAGAGAAATGACGAAAAAAAACAGAAAAAAAAGTTAGATAAGACTGAC